CATCCTGGGCCACATGCAGGTTGGATAAGCTTGGTTTAAAGGATCACTCTGACTTTGGTCACGGGTATGGACAACGCAGGGAGACCACATAAGAGTCCACCGTAATAATATCAAGAGCCAAGATGAGGACACTGTCCTGCACCCCTCCCTCCGTAGCCTATGAGAGCTTCCTGAAGCCTATTTATCTGTGCACGTTCTGCAAAATTGCCTGTCCCAAACAATTCTATTTCCAGACCTCCTCTAACACTGCCCAAACTAGGAAAACAAGGCCAAAAATAAATGACAGTGGTTTAGCTTCAGGCCCATAGGAACTGAATAACTCATTTACATTTAAGAGGGGACTGACAGAGAAGCCTCTATGAATTTAAATAAAAGGAGTAGTGACTGGGGCTAGAAGACATAGGGAGGAGGACAGTGGCAGAAGCTCTGGGGAAGTCATCACCCTTTCTCTTCTCCCTTTGCAAGGCTGACTCCACCACATTGGCACTGTGGGAAGATGAGCAGCAGTGAGGTGGGTGATTAGAAAATTTTGGAATCCTTAGCCCCCAGGGGGAAACAAGAGGAACAGGCAAAATCAAGTTGAGTGTTACTTTCACCCAAAACCACACAGCACTGTGCCTACAACCCAGTTCTTCTCCTCCATGAGTCTAGTACATGTCGACTACATAAAGATCAATATCCCTGCTCCCTTCCAGTTTATAATTCAATCATCAGAATTGCAATAAAAATTATGAACAGAGGCCGGGCGCGGCGGCTCACACCTGTAATCCCGACACTTTGAGGGACCAAGTTGGGTGGATCACGAGGTCAGGAGATCGAGACCATCCTGGCTACCACGGTGAAACCCGTCTCTACTAAAAATACAGCTGGGCATGGTGGCGGGCGCCTGTAGTCCCAGCTGCTGGAGAGGCTGAGGCAGGAGAATGGTGTGAACCCAGGAGGTGGAGGATGCAGTGAGCCGAGATCATGCCACTGCACTCCAGCCTGGGCAACAGAGCGAGACTCCGTCCCAAAAAAAAAAAAAAATTATGAACAGAAAATTAGATGTGAGCAGCAGCATTACTTCTCAAAATTCTGAGACCTACAGTAAAAAACATCATGATCCACCATACAAAGATAGAAAAGAAGGAGCATGTAATGTGTGTATACTCCAAAATCATAGAAGGGCTCATTAATTATTGCAAGGGATCCTCTCTCTAATCCATGGGTACAGTTACCATCTCAGACCAGATAATGCCTCATTATAAACACAGTATTTCTTCATTGCTAGTATGACTAACATAAATATGGATCTCAAATCTTTTTCTCACTGTGAATTCAATCAACAGATACCAAAATTATAATATTAGGATGTAGTTGAAGCTACTCAGCTAATCAAATGATCCTGGTTTCTTACCAGACCCTAATAAATAGAAGCTCACATATGCATTATTTGTTTTGGAAACACTGACAGGGTTTCATTTGAGAAAAAAAATGGGAGCTTTAAAAAATTCCTGGCCGGGCGCGGTGGCTCAAGCCTGTAATCCCAGCACTTTGGGAGGCCGAGGCGGGTGGATCACGAGGTCAGGAGATCGAGACTATCCTGGCTAACATGGTGAAACCCCGTCTCTACTAAAAATACAAAAAATTAGCCGGGCGTGGTGGCGGGCGCCTGTAGTCTCAGCTACTTGGGAGGCTGAGGCGGGAGAATGGCGTGAACCCGGGAGGCGGAGCTTGCAGTGAGCCGAGATCACGCCACTGCACTCCAGCCTGGGAGACACAGCGAGACTCCGTCTCAAAAAAATAAAAATAAAAAATAAAAAAATAAAAAATAAAAAATAAAAAATTCCTAAATACTACCAATTTCATTTCTTTCCCATAAGAGACTGAATCCAAATTGGCAAATACAGTCAGGTCCTCTAAAATGTTAAAACTTTAAGGCAATACTAATCTTTTCAGACTTAGCATTTGCTAAGTCACAAACTTTTTATTAAACATAAAAAGCTCAAAAGCAACTCTAGGCCAGGCGTGGTGGCTCACACCTGTATTCCCAGCACTTGGGGAGGCCGAGGAGGGTGGATCACCTAAGGTCAGGAGTTCGAGACCAGCCTGGCCAACATGGCAAAACCCCGTCTCTACTAACAACATAAAAAATTAGCTGGGCATGGTGGCACATGCCTGTAATTCCTGCTACTCAGGAGGCTGAGGAAGGAGAATTTCTTGAACCCAGGAAGAGGAGGTTGCAATCAGCCGAGATTGCACCACTGCACCCCGGCCTGGGCAACAGAGCAAGACTCCATCTCAAAAAAAAAAAAAGAACTCTAACACAACATCCAGTGTCCAGATCTTAGCTTCTAATACCATTCTAAAGCAAAATAATCCCAGTGCCTTGGAGAAATGGATCATTCCAAGGTTGGGACATGGAAAATACAAAATAAGCCTGAGCATTCTCTGATGCCGGAAATCAGGAAATGCATTAAAAAAGAAAAAGACTCCGGGCATGGTGCCTCACACCTGTAATCCCAGCACTTTGGGAGGCTGAAGCGGGCAGATCACTTGAGGCTAGGAGTTTGAGACCAGCCTGACCAGATGGAAAACCCCGTCTCTACTGAAAAACACAAAAAGTAGCCAGGTGTGGTGTTACATACCTGTAATCCCAGCTACTTGGTAGGCTGAGGCACAAGAATCGCTAGAGCCTGGGAGACGGAGGGTGCAATGAGTCAAGATCATGCCACTGCACTCCAGTCTGGGCAACAAAGACTCCATCTCAAAAAAAAAAAAAAAAAAAAAAGAAGAAGAAGAAGAAAGAAAAAGCAAGTCCCAGTGGTGAAAGCCAGAACAATTTGAGCAGCAGATTAAACACTGATAATATTGGATTATAAGCCATATAACAAAACAAATATCCATGAGCCCGTACTGATACAAATAACTGAATCAATGAACAGGAGAGAAGGGCCAACTCTTCCCTACAGAAGGGAATTTTAATTAAAAAATGTAGAAGGGCTGGTCACAGTGGCTCACGCCTGTAATCCCAACACTTTGGGAGGCCGAGGCGGGTGGATCACCAGGTCAGGAGTTCGAGACCAGCCTGGCCAATATGGGGAAACCCCGTTTCTACTAAAAATACAAAAATTAGCCAGGCATGGTGACATGTGCCTGTAATCCCAGCCACTTGGAAGGCTGAGGCAGGAGAATTGCTGAACCCAGGGAGACAGAAGTTGCAGTGAGCCTAAATCGTGCCACTGCACTCCAGCCCGGGTGACACAGTGAGACTCCATCTCAAAAAAAAAAAAAAAACACGTAGAAGAAAGAAAATAGGGGTTTTGTTTAACCATTGGGGAAAAAAAAAAAAAAACTAAACTAAACAACATGTTCCACAAATGGATGCTTAAATTAATGAATAAAAGTTTAAGGAGAAATGGTAGTTCAAGTTTCTCTCCCAAGATCTCAAATACAAAGGGAACCTGGCAAACAGATTAACATCATAGGTAATAAGAAGTATCGGCTAGGGCACGGTGGCTCATGCCTGTAATCCCAGCACTTTGGGAGGCCAAGGCATGAGGATCACTAGAGGTCAGGAGTTTGAGACCAGCCTGGCCCACATGAAACCCATCTCTACTAAAAATATAAAAAAATTAGCCGGGTGTGGTGGCAGGCACCTGTAATCCCAGCTACTCAGGAGGCTGAGGCAGGAGAATCACTGGAACCTGGGAGGCAAAGGTTGCAGTGAGCCGAGATCGAGCCACTGAACTCCAGTCTGGGCAATAAAGCATGATTCAGTCTCAAAAAAAAAAAAAAGTATTGACATCATGTACCGAATATGACATACTGAGATGGAAACTTTACTTCTCTGACATTTTTCCCCAAAATGTAGAATATTCATCTAAACATGACAGTAAATATCAAACAAATACAAATTGAGGGGCATTCTACAGATTAACTGACCGGGTCTTCTTCACTAGTGTCAAGGTCCATGAAAAAACAATGAAAGGCTGAGGAACTGTCACAGATCAGAGAAAATTAAGGATATTTAGCAGTTAAATGCAAAGTGAGATCATCGATTGGATCCTGGGCAAAAAAAAAGACAGTGGAAAGACAAGTGAAATCCAAATAAAGCCTGTAGTTTAGTTTATTGTATTATAGTGGCAGGCCCATGTTACTAGTTTTGGCCCTTGTTATGCATGATATTATGGGAACTCTCTGTACTGTTTTTTGCAGATTTTCAGTAACTCTCAAATTATTTCACAATTAAAAGTTATTATAAGATAAATACTAAAATAATCAACATCTTTCAATGTTTATAACAGAAGTGTATAGACTTAACATGCCATCTTTGTCGCTGAAACCTTCCTCACCAAGATCTATATAATCCAGTCAAAGCGTACTCTGAAAGCACTGTTTTGTAAATAATATAAATCAAAAACATCTCTTCCTTACTACTCTGTTATATTTATTTATGACTAGCTGAAATTCAAATAATAAGAGAGTTGTAAGATCCTCCTAAAAACCAAGCTTTAGGGGATATCTCTAGGACTGAGAGGGCAGTAAGAACACTCATCTATCCACAGAAAATTACAAAAAGGAGTTCAATAATTCTTTAGCAAACCATCCAAAGCTTTAAAGGGATTGAGCAATAATTTGTCATTTACCTATTCCCAGAAGATAAAGGGAATAGGTAAATGACAATATATTGGTCTACTCCTTTAAAATATTAGCATTAACAAATGTTTCCTCTCCCTGTAGTAACTTCCGTGCTCAGTAGGTTTTTATCCTTCCAATATCAACTTTAGCTTCATACATTTGGAGGAAGGCCAAGAGTTTTACCAACCCACACTTAACACACTATGAGAGCCGGAATCAGTTTGCACCAGAGCATCATTTTCTGAAAAACCACTTTGAATTATCAGTTTTAAACTGCATACCTACTTTCAAATGAAACTGTGAGAGGCTAAAAAACTCAGTCATCTCGTTTCAACGGTTATCTATTTTCCAACAAATACATATATACAACGCCTACCCACCTTTCCAGACACACACTCTAAGCGCAATTGGCTTTTACCATTTACTCACTCCGCTTAATAGAGCTCGGTCTTAACCAAGGGCTCAGGATCTCAGGATGTGCGGGCTCAGAGGCAGAGCTTTAACACTTATTGATGTAAATGTTGGGATGAGTCAGCCCGACCTTCGAAACAAACCCTAAAGCAGCAGTTTCCGCTTAACAAGGCCACCGAGCATCGGCACGGTGCGTTGCCAAATCCTCCCCAGCTCCTCTCCAGGCTGCCTCCTTGCCGCGTCTCTCAATCTCAGTGGGAGTGGCGGGCACTGCCTTTTCCCTCCTGCACGCCCGGAACCGTTTGTGTGGGCACAGCACACAGCCCGCGCGCTGCACAACCCCTTCGCCGGACCACACCCGGTGGGCCTCAGCGCTCCCGTAGCGCGGCGGCCGGCGCTGGAGGCGCTGCAGCTCCAGGTCACGATAGCAGCCGGCGGTTGGCGGCCTCGGGAGACCCGGACCTCGAGAGAACGAGCTCAGGCAGTGCAGACGCGAACTTCCTATCCCGCGCCTCGGGCTATGGAGGGCCAGAGCTGAGCGCTGTGGCCCCTCCCTAGCGCCCTGGGTTTCCCTGGGTCGGGGTTCGCGGGCGGGGATGAGGCGCGGTCCAGTCTGCCGGGCCGCGATAAGCGCCCTGGGACCCGGCTGAAAGCGCCCACGTATCCCGCGGCGCTGAGCCGCCAGCTGGACGGGAACCACCGCCCTCCCGCGGGGCTAGGGTCACCCTGCCGGGACACGCAGGGAAAAGCCAAACACTCCCGCCTCCGAGATCGAACGGGGTGATTTAACTACGAGAATCACCGGGCGCTCTTCGGGCTGATCAATACCTCGTCTGACCTAGATGGGTTTGGTCGCCGCCACTGGCCGGAGCGCCGAAGCACCGGGGACGCTGACACACAGGTTGTCCAGTCACAAGCGCTGCTCGCCCCCAGAGCAAGTTAAATGGGTGGTTTCTGGTGAATGGGCTTCTGAGAAAGTGGATGCTTGCGCCCCAGGGCCTTAAAAAATCAGGTCAGGGACTGAATCTAACCCGGGGAGGCAAAGGGGAGAAACTTACTGAATGAAAATATTACCGTAGTTTAAATGTTATTCTTTATACTCCTGTGACTGACATACTTCTGTGCAATATTCTGATGGTGTGGAAAGGCTGGAAAGTGATTGCACATGTTCAGGAAACGGGCCATCAGGCTGTGTGAGTGTAGCCATCCCAACATCTGCTGCGTCTGCCCTAGGAAATTAGTACCTGCATGCACATATTTCCTGGTTTGCATTTACAAACAAAAATCATAATATCATTTAAGTTGTTTAAATCAACACTAGGAATAACTATTAATGGTTCACTCAATGCAGGAAAGTTTTAGCTAGGAAGCCTATATAAGAAAATTGACTCTACGTAATTTTTTTAAAAAAATTTAAAAATACCATACCGCATGCTTTGGTGCGCCCAAACATTTGGGTAAAATTATTCTTTTGAATTAATTTCTGTCAGTTTCAAGACCCTTAAAGACCCATATAGAAATATATATTAGTCATACTTCATTTTAAGACAAAATTAAGGCCAGCGCGGCGGCTCATTCCTGTAATCCCAGCACTTTGGGAGGCTGACACAGGCAGATCGCTTGAGGCCAGGAGTTCGAGACCAGCCTGGCCAACGTGGTGAAACCCTGCCTCTACTAAAAATACAAAAGTTATCTGGGTGTGGTGGCGAGGCTGTAATTCCAGCTACTCGCGAGGCTAAGGAAGGAGAAGCGCTTGAACATAGGAGGCAGGGGATGCAATGACCCGAGATCCCACCACTGCACTCCAGCCTGGGCCACAGAGGGAGACTGTCTCAAGAAAAAAAAAAAAAAAAAAAACCGAAGATAAAGTTTTCAGACCTGGCAGTTAAGGACTGTTTGCAAAAACTGAAAAATCTCCAAAGAATAAATTTTATTTTAATTTTCTTTTTAGTTCAACCAGATAAGTGAAAAGAATAAAATTGTATGATACCAGAAAAAATGAAAACATTTCAAGCAAGATCTGAAGGCCCTACAGGAGGCGACTGAACAAAAATGGAGGAAACACACATGAAACTGCTGTGCACATTTTTAAAAACGGATACTTAGTTGAATATAGCATTTTGTAATTATGCAAAATAAAAACAAATCAAAACCCTGTACATAGAGACCAGGCACGGTGGCTCACGCCTGTAATCCTAGCACTTTGGGAAGCCGAGGCGTGTGGTCACCTGATGTCAGGAGTTCGAGACCAGCCTGGCCAACACGGTGAAACCCTTCTCTACTAAAAATACAAAAATTAGACCGGGCGCTGTGGCTCACGCCTGTAATCCTAGAACTTTGGGAGGCCCAGTCGGGCAGATCACCTGAGGTCAGAAGATCGAGATCATCCTGGCTAACACGGTGAAACCCCGCCTCTACTAAAAACACACACACACACAAATTAGCCGGGCGTGATGGCGGGCGCCTGTAGTCCCAGCTACTCAGGAGGCTGAGGCTGGACAATGGCGTGAACCCGGGAGGCGGAGCTTGCGGTGAGCCGAGATCGCGCCACTGCACTCCAGCCTGAGCAGCAGAGCGAGACTGTCTCAAAAAAAAAAAAAAAAAAAAATTAGCTGGGCATGGTGGCACATGCCTGTAATCCCAGCTACCTAGGAGGCTGAGGCAGGAGGATCGCTGGAGCCAGGGAGGTGGAGGCTGCAGTGAGCCAAGATCATGCCACTGCCAAGATCATGCCAATGCCTGTCACTGGGTGACAACGCAAGACTCCATGTCAAGAAAACAAACAAAAAAAACCTATACATAGAAAATTGCTGGGCAAGGAGTGGCAGCTCACTCCTGTAATCCCAACACTTTGGGAGGCAGAGGCGAAATAATTGCTTTAGCCCAGGTGTTCAAGACCAGCCTGGGCAACAGAGTGAGACCCTATCTCTATTTAAAAAAAAAAAAATTTTAATTACACTGGGTGTGGTGGCTCACACCTGTAATCCCAGCACTTTGGGAGGAGACCAGAGGATTGCTTGAGCCCAAGAATTCGAGACCAGCCTAGGCAACACAGGGAGTCCTTGTCTCTACAAAAAAATTTTAAAAACTTAGCTGGATGTGATGGCACATACCTGTGGACCTAGCTATTTGGGGGACTGAGGTGGAAGGATTGCTTGAGCCCAGGGGTTCAAGGCTGCAGTGAACCATGATCAGAGTGAGACCCCACTTTAAAAAAAAAAAAGAAAGAAAATAGCAGGAAAGTGTTCATTTGTTCTAGGTAGTAACATGGAATGTCTTTTATCTTGTATTTTAGTATAAGTTTCTAAATTTAATGTAACAAATTTAGAAAATTATAAATTTTATAACAAAAAAATGGATTTTGTTTAAAAGTAAAATGAACTGATAAACATATAAAGACACATGGCAATACTTAGAGTCATATCCTCACTTGAAATAGGACTAAACCTATAAAAAATTCTTCCTTACTTTTAGTCTAATTTTAAAAATATTTTAGATTGTGATGTTTCATATTTATAGGTCGGTTTATTTGCTAAATAAAGTTATATTGGGAGGCAGTGGAAAATTAAATAAAAATTAAAGTTATATTAGTTCCTAACCTCATCCTAATACTTTATCAAATTCTATTTGATAAGTTCAGATTAAAGCCAGCATTTTATAAATGTATTGCATTGTATAGAAATAAGTCATTTAACTTGTAAGTTAGCATTGTTTTTGGAGCTAGCCATAGAATTTTAGAGAAAAAGGACCTTCCTCTTTAGGTCAGATGTTAGATCACTTTCCTCATTTTACAGATAAATCACCAATGCAAAGCAGACTGATTTGCACAAGGTTAAAGGTTAAATGACTCACAGCCTTCCAAGCCATTGCCCTCTGCCCTCCACCACATGACCTTTCTTTTATTTTACCAGACAAGAGTCACTGCCCAGTATTTATAGAGCCCCATATTGGGACTCCTGCTGAATGCCTGTGCACCAGTTGCAAAATGCTGGTAAGGCCCCAGTATGCTACATTTCTTAGTGCTTACTCCAAAGGTGAACTCCAAAATGGTCAATTTTCCCCTGGCAAGATCAGGTTTCAGACAGGATTCCCCATGGGCCTGGGGGTATTTGGGTTACATATATAACAGATGTATTCTGTCCGAGTATATCTATTTTCATTACCACTCCAAGTTAAGAAAATAAAAAAACAGTGGCCGAGAGGCTATGTGCACAGTATTCTCCCACAGCCCGGCTCACAGCTGTCAGGCTTTTGACTAATTTGGCAAGAGAAAGTTCAGTCTAGGCCGGGCGCGGTGGCTCAAGCCTGTAATCCCAGCACTTTGGGAGGCCGAGACGGGCGGATCACGAGGTCAGGAGATCGAGACCATCCTGGCTAACACAGTGAAACCCCTTCTCTACTAAAAATACAAAAACTTAGCTGGGCGAGGTGGCAGGCGCCTGTAGTCCCAGCTACTCCGGAGGCTGAGGCAGGAGAATGGCGTGAACCCGGGAGGCGGAGCTTGCAGTGAGCTGAGATCCGGCCACTGCACTCCAGCCTGGGTGACAGAGCGAGACTCCGTCTCAAAAAAAAAAAAAAAAAAAAAGAGAAAGTTCAGTCTATAGTGGTGCAAACAGTTATTGTAAATAAAATAATGGAAACAGTTTAAACAACTCTTTCTAAAGATTTCAGTATAAAAGGAAGGTGAGAGAAAGGAATATAGGTAGAGGCTATCTTAGGGTTCAGAGAAAATATTCACGTGGTTTGAATTTAGACAGACTAGAACATGTGTGCATGCCAAGAGGACAAGCCATAAAGAAAGAAAGAGTTGTTGGTAGTATCAGGTCCCTTAGGAAGCATAATGAAAATGGGATCCAGAGGAATTAGAATTAGAAAAGAAAAGGAAACTTTAGAATCCTTCATGCTCTTCCTTTCCAAATTGGGCCAGGCAGAATGGCTCCTGCAAAGAAAAGTGGCAAGAAGAAGGGCTGTTCTGCCATAAATGACGTAGTGACCCAAGAATACCCGTAGTGACATCAGCATTCACAAACGCATTCACAGAGTGGGCTTCAAGAAGTGTGCCCCTGGGGCACTCAGAGAGATCCGAAAATTTGCCATGAAGGAGATGGGAACTCCAGATGTGTGCATTAATACCAGGTTCAACAAAACTGTCTGGGCCAGAGGAATAAGGAATGTTCCATACCGCATCTGTGTACAGTTGTTCAAAAAATGTAATGAGGCTAAAGATTCACCAAACAATCTCTATAATTTGGTATATACCTGATTACTTATATACCTGTTACCATTTTCAAAAATCTACAGACAGTCAATGTGGATGAGAACTAACCACTGAGCATCATATACATCAAATAAGTTATAAAATTGCCTATATATATATGGAAGTTGATATGGTTTTGCTGTGTCCCTACCCAAATCTCATCTTTTTTTTTGAGATGCAGTCTTGCTGTGTCACCCAGGCTAGAGTGCAGTGGCATGATACCAGCTCACTGCAACCTCTGCCTCGTGGGTTCAAGTGATTCTACTGCCTCAGCCTCCTGAGTAACTGGGCTTACAAGCACGTGCCCCCATGCCCAACTAATTTTTGTATCTTTAGTAGAGACAGGGTTTTACCATGTTGGCCAGGCTGGTCTCGAACTCTTGACCTCAGGTGATCCACCACCTCGGCCTCCCAAAGTACTAGGATTACAGG